ATTTATTTCAGTTTGTTGGAAAATGTCCGAAAAACGAAAGAAATGCAATGTGCTGTCGTTAGAAGATCGTGTTAAAGTTATCACAACAGCAATTAAGGCGAAGTTTATCTGTGGGAAAACTAAATTTATTTTACTGTAGAACTACAGTATATTTATTCTGGTGTAAAATATTGTACACGATACAATTAATCGGCTGATTTCATTGTTTAATGTAATTTATTTTTATTTATTTATTTATTTATTTATTTTGAAGCTCATATACAGTACATGTGCAACCTACCTTATTTCCAAGATATTTTTAGAAAAATAATTCCCAATAATTTTCGAACACAAAATATTCAAAAAATAATGAACGCATTAATGCCAAAATCAGTTTTACAGCATTCCTTCTTCGATTTCGTAATGACAATCGCAAAATGTAATAAAATCGTATAATAAGAAAAAAGAATAAAAACGTTTTATTATTAATTAATAGTAACTTTTTATTGTACTTAAGAAAATAATTAATATTAAAAAATACAGTATTTTTAAAGTTAAAATAAGATTAAACTTACGAATACCAAAACAAAAGTAATATAGAGATATGACGTACAGTACTTGTACATTGATGATGTAATACACGCAACCTACTTGTATATCGAAAACAACCGAGTTGAATTAATTAAGTCGGATAAAACAAAGTGTGCATTATAATAGGAAAAATGCGTCTATTGTATTAATTTTTAAAGTACTTTTATTAAATCTGTCTTATAAAATTTTGACGACTCCTGTAAATCGAGTGATCCGATAAGAATAAAATAACAGCCCCATTGTTGAAAAAATTTGCTTTATTTGCTCACTTCGAGTTCTGTTTAGTAGAAATGGCTAAAACGTGCGCAAAATACGTACAGAAATACGGTATTACGGCACCACCTGTATTGGACAACCACTTGTCTAAAAGACCACTTTTTAAAAAAATCGTGGCTGGTAGCCATACACAGTCTTTACTGTATTTGTTTTTGTACTTTTGAATTTGCAGCCAGATAGGGTATTTCATTCGAGAGCACCCCCAAATTTCTTTTTGAATTAAATGAATTATTGTCGTTGACATTAAGCATATTTCCAGCAACTGATAAATGTTAATGGAAATATATTTATTTTACGGAAACAGAACAATAATAATTATATACAGGACAATAGTACTTAATATTCCAACGGCGTATATTAGCAAACGTATAGAATTATAAGTAATGAAAACAGAAGAACGACAATGAAAATTACTTCTTTACAATCAGATAGATGCATTATTATTATTATTATTATTATTATTATGCAGCTAGGTTAGCTACATTATTATCATTCGTTATGCATTTCTTCGTTTGTACTTCACTTGACAAGAACGAGGAAAAATATGTTACTACTTTTGTTGCTGCTACTTACATTACACAGAATATAAATATTCAAATTTTATACTTGAATTTAATTTATTATTTAATGTCAAATTTCACCACTTTATTCTTCTAAATGCTTTTTATATAATATATAATTTGAATATAAATTTGTAGTTTAAAAATTTTTCAATACGAATTGCAGAAAACTAAAAATTTACAGAAATAACTTGAATTTTTCATAAATATACTTTTGTAATTCAATAAATTCTAATTGCACAATTCATTTTAAAGAGTCTTGCTTACTCTCTAAATGATTCATGAAACTTGTACAGCAAGTTTCATAAGTAATTTAGCAGGAAACTTTAAAAAGGAAATTGTCTTCGTAAATAATTTATAACTTATTCCAATTTAATTTGTTTTTCGCATTAACAAGACAACCATTTTGAACTTGTTCTAAAGAAACAAAATTTATTTGTAAATTTGTTATCGATTTAATAGAATTTCGATTTAATAGAAATAATAATTCACTTCTTAAATACAATTAACTCAGGACCATTGAATTTAACGTGGAAGAAGATATTTTGGATAAAAAGAATTAACACCGAATAAATGGTAAGTTATTATTTAAATTTATGTTAGCTACAGTGACATTAAAGTGCCTTCTAATGTTACGTTAAGTGTAATTAATTTTTAACTACTTTTAAATAATTAAAAAATTTTGTTTGCTTGTTTGTTTTAAAAGCAAGGTTAATTACAGGCATCAGTTAAATTTTCGGATATATCTGTAAAAATTCATTTGGAATCACCTGATTCTTATCTAATTTGTGAAGTGTGTTCTTGTATCGTAAAACCAACTGTATTTTTTTATTTTACTCGTATTTATTCTACTTTATTTTTAATTTGTGTCCAATAATGAGAAATTCGATTAACAGTTTCTGTCTCGTTATTCAAGATAATGTTGCAAACTTAACTTTTATATAAATAGTTAAGAACTTAGAATTAGAGTTGTGTTTGTGTACAATAATCATTGAATAATATTTTGATAGATTGCTACGAATTTTGTACGACTGAAATTTCAGCATATAGAAAATCTTTTCTGATTATCCATTTAACTTGGTTACTACATTAGAAAATCATTAGAAATCGTTGCAGGTATGTGATTTTATTACTAAATTTAAAATTTTAACACCTAAATAAATTGATGTTAAACTTGTAGATTTTCGAAAGATTTGCTTTTATAAATCATTTATCATCAAATATAACAGGTTGGATTAAACATAGGAATTCGCAAAAGTTATTGAATCATTTCACAATGTATAACAAATTATTTTTATTTGAAGGTGGATAGATAGGAAAAAAAAATCTTTTTAAATACTGGAGCTGCAGTTATTTACACATAGGACTTCTTCGGTTTCAATCATCAGATAATATTTAAAAAATTGTTATTGCCACAAATATTATAAAAAGCATTGTTCTCTTTGCGATATTTAATAAATAAGTAACAAATATAATTTAAATAATTATAATAATGAACTATTTCTATACAGTTTACCCCCCTATATCACTGTTGATAATTCCGTTGTACATAAATTCCATGTTGTACGAGTCACTTAGATTTTACAAATATGTGTGCCGGGCTGTGAACGGCTTACGTATTTGTAAAATCTAAGTGACTCGTACAACATGGAATTCGTATAAAACGAAATTATCAACAGTGTTATAGGGTAGTCAACTGTATTTTACTTTGTCTTATTGTTAAAATATGATTTCAAATTGTTGTGTTTTAATTTTCTTGGATATTAGAACAAATTGTAAAAATTATTATTGCAAATTAATTTTATTATACAGGTAACCCCCGTATAACACGGCACTTCTATAGCACGGATTCGCTCTAACACGGTTCGAGAATTGGTATCATCCCCCGTATAACACGGTACTTTTATAGCACGGATTCACTCTGACACGGTTCGAGAATTGGATAAAACCCTCGTACAACAGGAANTACTAATTAAAATGGGTAAGATCATCTATTATCAAATAATCTTAAAAATAATAAGCGGGTATTGCGTGTAAATATTATCGAACTTTAAGTATTTCAGATAATACCAATACGTTTTTTTTAGCATGAGCATTTCTTTCATGAAATCAAACTGTGCGGTAATAACATTTTTGTTACTTTAGAAAGTTATTTAAAGACACTATTTTTCATGTAAAATCATTTTTGGTGACAGAAATGTTTTTCATTACCATATGAATAACAAATATCCAGCCAATAAACAATATACTATTATAGAATATTTTAGTGAAAGTTTATTGTGTCAAGTGGAGGTAAAGCATAGTGGTTATAAATGTACCAACTTTTTTATTACTGGTAAAACGCTAAATCTATAAACACTAATTACTTTATTAAGAAATTACTGGTAACTTTTAAAATTTGTCTTCACTCACAAGAACTAATGCATTATTACAATTGCCATTTTAATTATCAATGAAAAAATAAATGATCTTTAATGGTCTAAGGCCGCATTTTCCATTTTGTATTTTAAGGCGTCGCGTATGAGCCACAGTGCGAACAGACACTATCATTCACTTACGACATTTGAATTAAAATTTATTTTAGTAAAATAAACAATACGGTATTATTGTATTTAATAAAATCACATACCTGAAGGAACCGGTGTAACTGTTTCAACGTAGAAGTCTATTAAGGTGAATGACCGGAGTTGAATTTTTTTATACCTATGATTTATAATGCAAAACATCTATAGGAAATATCACTCGGCCATTATTATAATAATAATAAAACTGTTTCGAAGTATTCAATCAAATTTAGAAAGGATATATTAAACTTTGCCTTATTGTTACTAGATATGTTATGAAAACTAAAAAATGAAAAAATTGAAAAATTTTCTAAATATTAAAATTATTTGTAATTTTAATTTATTCAACATCTGAAATTAATTCTGTAATCAAAGCTTCCCAAATTACTACTACTTGCAAGAATTAGAAATGCTCTTGCATTCTGTGACAACGGGTAAGATTTACTTTAGCGTAATAATTTGAATCTTTGCAATCGTTACTTTTTGTTCGAGCAACGCCGGGCCTATCTGCTAGTTCTGTAATAAAGTAAAAGTAAAAATTTGTATAAACAATATGTAGGAAAACGATAGTATATATATTTCACTTTTAAATTATATAAAAACATGTTTATCAAGATTTTCCAATATGATCGAATTCGATAAAATAATATACTTGAAATACAAAAACTTCATCATCATTCCACGAATTTTATCGTCAAACAGAACAGTGGAAATTCGGTCTGGTAAACCATTGTGCATAATTTTACATTCAAAGTACCTTTATATAGTAATTTATAAGAATGAGTTTTAATAAACTATGTAAGAGAATTTATCTGAATTAAACTATATCGTTACCTTTATAGGCAAAATAGTATCTTCTATAAATCAAAATAAAAACATGAAAATTGACTGTGTGAAAAAACGATTATCCATCGTTTTTCGAAGATTAGGAAGATTAATCGGATTTCATCCGTACTACTTTATATTTTTTCCTGTTTTAATAACAGCGATATTCTCAGCATTCATCTCTAATATAAACACTATCACAAACATGGTAGAAATGACATTTGCAGATTCAGGAAAAGTCTATAATACGAAGAAGTTCATTGACAAAACATTTTCTTTTAATACATCGAAATTTTATGATCCGGCAAGATTTACAAACATACCGAAATGTGTGTTTGTGATTTTTACACGGAAAGGTGGTGGAGACATGCTGGAAAAAGATGTGCTACTAGAAATAAGTTCGGTAGATCGACTAATTAAAAATATAACAATTAATCATGAAGGAATAAAAGTTGGATATTCAGATATCTGTGCAGGTGTAAACGAAAAATGTTTTCAAAATCCGATTATCGAGATGTTGCCAGAAATTGATAATATAGTGCAGCGAAAGAAGAAATTGAAGTATCCGTTCGACATAGATCCGTTGACATACCGTTCTCAAATTAACTCTCTTAACTTTGGGGCAGTAACCGAAGATGAAAACAATTTAATTAAAACAGTAAATGCTATGAGATTAGCGTATTTTACTGACGACAGCAACAAGAAAAAACACGGTGTGATAGCAAAATGGCAAACAGAAGTTTATAATCGAATAAGAAATCATCAATTTCAATATGTTCTGTGTTTCATTGATTACTACTGGTCAATAGAACAGCAAAATGTACAATTAGTGGAAAATATAAAACCTATGATTGGTGCTCTAATTGCATTTGTATCTGTTTTCACTGCTGTTACGTGTATGAGCAACAATTGGGCAAAAAGCAAGCCTTTTCTTGGTGTTGCGAGTGTCGTATCGGCTGGTCTGGCCGTAGTCACCTGTTTTGGATTTATGTCGGTTGTCGGTGTACAGAATAGTATTTGGAACATCACCATTCCGTTTTTAGTTTTCGGTAAGTTATTATATACACTTTTATATTTGTTCTATTTTAGATTATGAATTCTTAAATTCATAAAGATTTTTTGATATAGTCACGGAAATCGATGATGCGTTCGTATTATTGGCGTGTTGGAGAATATCAAACCCCAAGCATAAAGTACACAAACGCATGGAAGAAACATTCGGTGAAGCAGGAATTTCTATAACTATAACATCATTGACTAATCTGTTTTCTTATTGCATTGGAATGATGTCATCTTTTCCTCTTATAAGAATGTTTTGTTATTATTCCGCAACCAGCATAGTGTTTACGTTTTTGTATCAGATAACGTTTTTTGCAGGGTGCATGGCATTATCAGGACGGAGTGAAGAGAAACAACGACAAAAAGCATTTCGTTTTAATTTAGGTAATGTTGTTTGATTTTTTTAAATTATATATATCGATATATACACAGGGTTTTCATTAGTTAATGCTATACGAGATTGTTCGGACTGGTATCAGGTGATTGTTGGCAAAATGTGAAGAGTAATTGTATAGTGCAGAGATAGCGAACCTGTTTGAGTCTGCGGGCCACATAATAAGCATATTAAGCATACTTTCCTTTAAAAATGATTATGTGTGCTGAAGTTTTAGACGTAGTAACTATATTTAAATTTGCAGAATGGCCGAGCGGTCAAAGTGGTAGTTTATCGCTCATGTGGACCCGTGATCAAAACTCCAGAACATTTTCAGGATGTGCTACTAGAAATAAGTTCGGTAGATCGACTAATTAAAAATATAACAATTAATCATGAAGGAATAAATAAAAGTTGGATATTCAGATATCTGTGCAGGTGTAAACGAAAAATGTTTTCAAAATCCGATTATCGAGATGTTGCCAGAAATTGATAATATAGTGCAGCGAAAGAAGAAATTGAAGTATCCGTTCGACATAGATCCGTTGACATACCGTTCTCAAATTAACTCTCTTAACTTTGGGGCAGTAACCGAAGATGAAAACAATTTAATTAAAACAGTAAATGCTATGAGATTAGCGTATTTTACTGACGACAGCAACAAGAAAAAACACGGTGTGATAGCAAAATGGCAAACAGAAGTTTATAATCGAATAAGAAATCATCAATTTCAATATGTTCTGTGTTTCATTGATTACTACTGGTCAATAGAACAGCAAAATGTACAATTAGTGGAAAATATAAAACCTATGATTGGTGCTCTAATTGCATTTGTATCTGTTTTCACTGCTGTTACGTGTATGAGCAACAATTGGGCAAAAAGCAAGCCTTTTCTTGGTGTTGCGAGTGTCGTATCGGCTGGTCTGGCCGTAGTCACCTGTTTTGGATTTATGTCGGTTGTCGGTGTACAGAATAGTATTTGGAACATCACCATTCCGTTTTTAGTTTTCGGTAAGTTATTATATACACTTTTATATTTGTTCTATTTTAGATTATGAATTCTTAAATTCATAAAGATTTTTTGATATAGTCACGGAAATCGATGATGCGTTCGTATTATTGGCGTGTTGGAGAATATCAAACCCCAAGCATAAAGTACACAAACGCATGGAAGAAACATTCGGTGAAGCAGGAATTTCTATAACTATAACATCATTGACTAATCTGTTTTCTTATTGCATTGGAATGATGTCATCTTTTCCTCTTATAAGAATGTTTTGTTATTATTCCGCAACCAGCATAGTGTTTACGTTTTTGTATCAGATAACGTTTTTTGCAGGGTGCATGGCATTATCAGGACGCAGTGAAGAGAAACAACGACAAAAAGCATTTCGTTTTAATTTAGGTAATGTTGTTTGATTTTTTTAAATTATATATATCGATATATACACAGGGTTTTCATTAGTTAATGCTATTCGAGATTGTTCGGACTGGTATCAGGTGATTGTTGGCAAAATGTGAAGAGTAATTGTATAGTGCAGAGATAGCGAACCTGTTTGAGTCTGCGGGCCACATAATAAGCATATTAAGCATACTTTCCTTTAAAAATGATTATGTGTGCTGAAGTTTTAGACGTAGTAACTATATTTAAATTTGCAGAATTGCCGAGCGGTCAAAGTGGTAGTTTATCGCTCATGTGGACCCGTGATCAAAACTCCAGAACATTTTCAGGTGGTGATCCGTTTTTCACCATTGTTCTATTTTGAGTTAGCTAAATAAAATAGCCCTCTTAGTGCCGCAGGTCAAAGAGAGTTTTAAAAACTATATTTAAATAAATAAAATAATATGATGTAATTAGAGTAAATGTAAAGAACCTGATTTAAAAAGATAATAAACCGATATCGTATAATACGTTACGTGCCGGATGATTTCTTCGACGTGCCACTTGTGGCATGCGTGCCATAGGTTCGCTACTTCTGGTATAGTGTATTGAATACATGGTGCATTTTATCGGATAATTTAATATATTATTAAAGTTCGAGTTATCGCAGTGTAGCTTAATTTTAATATAAGTAAAAATCTTTATTTTAGAGTTAAACGTTAAACTTTGCCTTTTCTATTAAATGAAGCTGCACTAGTTATTAGTGTACAGTACTATTCAATTTTACTTTTAGACCCAGGACCGTGTAGCATAAAAACTCTACGTAAACATTAATAGCAAAAAAAAGTATTAACCTTACGTGAGCCGATGGAGGGAGCTATCCTTTCTCTTCTTTTCGTCTGTCCATTTTCCTTATTCGTTTTCTTACTTTTTCCTTCTTCGGTGGCAATTTGTTTTTTTTTTGTTTTTTGTTTTTTGTTTTTTTTTTGTTAAAATGATGGCCTTTCGTTCAATTAAAATGAAAAAAGTACTGTAAAAATATTATAAAGAAAAAGATGATCTTATTGAATACTCATACCTTTTATGTGATTTTAAGAAATGTCTAAGCAGTTTTTATTTGCCTTTTTTATAATACCTGTTATTTATTACTTATTTGCAGATAACTAGTATTACATAAAATGATATGTAAATTAACTAAACATAAATTTAAAATGTTTTTTCAAATAAATAATGTTGTACCTGTACATAATTTTTAAATGGTTAACTTTTATTTTCAGAAGATATCGAACGTTCTTCTAAAGATGATGAGACATCTAGTGATGAGCCAACAATGGTGTATTTTAGGGACAAGTTGGGAAAAATTTTANAATGATACAATAATATTTGTGCATTTGACTGAAATTTCTCCTGTATCGTAAATCGTTGTCCACCTTGCGCAAATTACCGAATTACCGAATAAATTTACAAACGAATTAATAGCATTAAACCGCAATTAGATTCTATAATCTATATATATATAATCGAGACGAGATGATAATAATAATCAGTGCAGAGCCCAAACGGTTAGGAGTTGGAAGCTGAAATTTGGTACACAGTTAGGGTGAGCCAACAATGGTGTATTTTAGGGACAAGTTGGGAAAAATTTTATCTATGAAAGCAATAAAGATAATAGTTGTCATAGTTTATTTTCTGAATTTATCATTTGGAATCTGGGGAGCCTTAACTATAACACACGGTATTGATTATACTAAACTATATCCACAAAAATCGGTAATAACACAAGGTATAAGATTATATTATAATAGTTTCGGCCGTTACACGTTTCCTTACGAAATAGTCATTAACAGCACAGTTGATTATTCAGATTTAAATGTACAGAAATCAGTAGACGAACTACTTAACAAATTCGAAAGTCTTCCGTACATTGCAGATTCTCGATTTACAGTATCTTGGTTGAAATATTATAGAGAATTCCAAAATCACCCGCTAACAAAATATTCATTACGAGGATATAACATGTCGGTTAAAGAAGATTTCTTGGATGGACTTCGCAATGTTTTCCTGAAATTTAAATTAGCAGAACAATTCACTGATGATATCGCCTTCAACTCCGATGGATCCGATATTATAAGTAGCAGATTTCATATCCTTGTAAATGATACGTTAAGTTCAGCAGCTGAAATGGAAATGTTAAAAACACTATGGAAAATTGCAGACAAATTTGATTTTCCTGTTCTCGTTTACGCAGCATTAACTCCTCTGTACGAAGAAGGAATTATAATTGGACGCACAATTAGAGATTTATTTTGGATCACTTCACTATTGGTTATGATTTTGTTTATAGTTTTTATACCAAACATTTTTGTTGCTGTTCTCGTTGCAATATCGGTAACATCCACCATTGTAGAAACTTTAGGATACATGTCTCTTTGGGGTATAAACATGGACATTTTATCTATGATGAGTTTGATATTATGTGTCGGGTTCTGTGTCAATTATCCGGCACACATAACTTACGCGTATATTTGTTCTTCGTATCAAACTTCCAATGAGAAGATGAAAGATAGTCTGTATCGTATTGGCTATCCAATATTTCAAGGATCTCTGTCAACCATTTTAGGAATTTTATTTGTATACAGAGATATGTACGCTTTAATTGTATTTGTGAAGATTGTATTTCTTATTGCATTAGAAACTGCATTTCATGCATTGATGTTTATTCCTGTTGTTCTTTCTCTGATTTCATCATTTTTTTTAATTAAAGCTAATAACATAATATAAACTCAGAAATATAGAGAAATGTCTCTGAAAAATTTAGTATTAATTATAAAATAAAATTATCCAACATATTATTTTATTCAGTGTAAATTGTACAGAAAAATTTAATGTTATACTTGAATCAGTATTTAGTTTTCGAGATCCTTCACGATATATTATATTGTTTTTTAATTATTTTACCTTGAAACATCTGAAAATTTTAACGTGTTAGATTTCATTATATACGAATAAATTGTTAACATTTTTTTTATTTTACTGTAATCTCGTTATTATAAATTACTAATCCAGTAGAAATGTATACTTTGTTACAATAATTGACTTTCATTTAAACCTACTTTTCGAATTTGTTTGCAGTAAAAAGTTTTCAGAGTTATTTTCTGTGTTTCCCTTATGTATTCATTGTATTTTTACGCAAATAAACTGATAGTATTTTAATAACCTTTGAATTTTTAATTGTATTAATAAGTTATCACATGAGACGGTTTACATTGAAACTATCAATCAAAAGGGTGGAAAACCCTGACTTTTATTCTTGCAGTTTTACTGACATTGTAATTTTTATTTACCTAAAAAAAGTTTTTTTATATTATTAATATAATTTTTGTTTTTTGGTTTTGCTAAATATAAGAAAATATGTTTACTTGCGTGCAGAAAATGAACTGAAGGTTGTTTTTTTTTGTAGGCTCATCAGACCTTAAAACATCAAAAAATAAAAACCTTCGTTTTTTTATGTATGATTTCTTCGTGTGCGAATTTGAACGATTTTATTACGCTTAGTAACTGCTCTTCTTCCTGCTGAAAATTTCTAAAAGTTTGCAGACAGGAATTTGTATTACAAAGATTAGTGATATAATATTTTAATGTTTAAAGATCGATAAAAACGGTAGATAAAAAAGAATTGTTTGGCACATCTGAATTAGTATCAAACTAAATGACGAATTTACACTTTATTAGCATTTACAATGTTTTATAAAATACATCCGTACTTTCAAAACTATGCTTTTTGCAATTTTATAATAATAAAAATAATTACTAACATGTATTTAGTTACATCCAGGAATAACCAAAAATTCTTGAATACCTCGAGTATAATCTCTTTCATGAGGTAAATTTGTGTGTTGTGTTTTTTGATGTTTTCTGTAGTCATGTGTATCTGTTAATATCTAGGAAGTGCAGAATAGTGCTCTGTTTTTAAAGTTTAAAGATTAAATCGTGCTTATTGTCGTTGATCATATTCAAACACTTCTGAAAATATCCTGTTATTTTTACAAATTATAAATACATTAACTATGTATCTTCCATAAAGGAAGAAGTCTTCTGTGAATAACGACTACCAAACACCGAACAAAAAAGTTTTATCAGTCATACAAAAAACTCTTTTTATTTTTTGGAGTACTTTATTTTCTCCTACGTAAACGCATTTCATATTAAATAATCATATGCCAACCCGGGTTAAAGCACTATGCTGTATTGCATAAAATAATGATACAATAATATTTGTGCATTTGACTGAAATTTCTCCTGTATCGTAAATCGTTGTCCACCTTGCGCAAATTACCGAATTACCGAATAAATTTACAAACGAATTAATAGCATTAAACCGCAATTAGATTCTATAATCTATATATATAATCGAGACGAGATGATAATAATAATTAGTGCAGAGCCCAAACGGTTAGGAGTTGGAAGCTGAAATTTGGTACACAGTTAGGGTAGGTCACGAAAACGCACCTAAGAAGGGATTTTTCGAAATGCCCCCCTGGGAGGAGAGGGACAGAATTAAGCTTAACACTTCCATCAACAATAGAAGTGTTAAGTAACAATGAAAGTGTTAACAATGGAAGTGTCAACAAATGAAGTTTCAACAATGGAAGTGTTACGTAACAATGGAATTGTTAAGAGAAAGCGACGTTTTAAGAGAAAGTGCAGTCGGTTATTGTTTTTGCAGGAAATTGAAGATATTTTTAGACCCATGTAAAAATTCTCTAATTAGACTAGAAACGGGGGATTCAATTTTTGCATTCTGTGAAAACGAGTAAGGTTGACTATAACGTAATAATCTCAATCTTCGCTATCGTTACTTTTGCCCGAGCAACGCCGGGCCCACCTGCTAGTATACAAATAAAATCTATAAAATAATTTCTTTACTTTGAATAATATGCTGTTATTGAATTGCAACTACCGCTTCGAATTAAATATTACCCTGAAGAATTCTTCTTCTACTGTACTATTTTAAATGCGGTTTTTGGGGGTTTTGCAAAGAATCGAACACATGCATCCGGTGAAAACGAACAGCTGGACGGTTGAGCAGCCAAAGTGGCAGTTTACTGCTCTCGGGGAACAGAGATCGAATTCAGACTAGTCAAACGATCCCCGTGAATTTTTCTGGGGATGGTTCGTTCGGATATGTTCCCCCCTCAACTCCCCGTTCTTCATCCGCCCCATTGTTGGCCTTGGCGAACGCATAATAGATTTGATAAAACTGGCCCACGTAGGGTCCACAGGAAGGAAGAAGTAAAAAATACTAATTAAAATGGGTAAGATCATCTATTATCAAATAATCTTAAAAATAATAAGCGGGTATTGCGTGTAAATATTATCGAACTTTAAGTATTTCAGATAATACCAATACGTTTTTTTTAGCATGAGCATTTCTTTCATGAAATCAAACTGTGCGGTAATAACATTTTTGTTACTTTAGAAAGTTATTTAAAGACACTATTTTTCATGTAAAATCATTTTTGGTGACAGAAATGTTTTTCATTACCATATGAATAACAAATATCCAGCCAATAAACAATATACTATTATAGAATATTTTAGTGAAAGTTTATTGTGTCAAGTGGAGGTAAAGCATAGTGGTTATAAATGTACCAACTTTTTTATTACTGGTAAAACGCTAAATCTATAAACACTAATTACTTTATTAAGAAATTACTGGTAACTTTTAAAATTTGTCTTCACTCACAAGAACTAATGCATTATTACAATTGCCATTTTAATTATCAATGAAAAAATAAATGATCTTTAATGGTCTAAGGCCGCATTTTCCATTTTGTATTTTAAGGCGTCGCGTATGAGCCACAGTGCGAACAGACACTATCATTCACTTACGACATTTGAATTAAAATTTATTTTAGTAAAATAAACAATACGGTATTATTGTATTTAATAAAATCACATACCTGAAGGAACCGGTGTAACTGTTTCAACGTAGAAGTCTATTAAGGTGAATGACCGGAGTTGAATTTTTTTATACCTATGATTTATAATGCAAAACATCTATAGGAAATATCACTCGGCCATTATTATAATAATAATAAAACTGTTTCGAAGTATTCAATCAAATTTTTAAAGTAGTCTGCTACAAATAAAGTCTGATCAACTGTGACCGTACGTGATATAAATTGTAAAAGAATCAACGAAGAGAACGGAGCATAAGAATTTACTAATTGAATGAAGAAATTTGAGAAGTATTTTAGAATTTACCATAGACATTGTATAAACTTGACAAGACTTTACAGACTTTTTGTAGCAATAGGAATTTTGAAAAATATTTTTAGAATTCTGACGTCTTGCTCAAACAGTCTGAGAAATTGTGCGAAGTTTTCTTTCTATAAAGGCAACCATATGTTGTTAGCTAAAAATGTTACAATGCAAATTATTATTGTATAATTTTATACATTCATGAATGTAAAAGTATACTTTATTCCTCTTCTATTCATATATGTAGAGTAGTGTGATTTTTAAACAGACAATCAAAAAAAGCAAGTTATATGCCACGCATTAATGTTTGTTAATTAGCGAACTGTGTTGCATTCATTCGGATTAAAGAGACATACATTCCAGTTCCAATCTTATCGAATTTTGGGACATCGTCTCTGGTCGTTGAGAGAAGTTGTGCAAGGGCATGCTTTGTCACAATCTTGTGGCAAGCATGTTTGCGCGTGTGAATGAGGTCGTAGAAAAAGTTGGGTTGTGGTCAAGATTCTAACCTCTCCTCTCCATCTGCGTTTTTTTGTTTTGCGTTAGCAGATGCTAACACCGTTTTGTTCTGTTAACGAATCATCAAAGTGTTGATTAATTGCTATGTTGTGTTAAAAAGTTGTTTGAAACTTAAGTTAATAAATGTATTTACTCATTTCTAATCTGTGTGTTTTGCAAACAAGTCATAAAATCGTTGCACAATTAAATGTTATAACAGTTATTATAAATGTCACTTGACATTAATGTGCATTGTTTACAGATTGATCGCTTAGACATGTTTGTTATCTCAGATTCGCGATTCTGATATAGGTAGGTAACGAGTCACGGCCAATACGCTTTATGCACGGTGTGACCAACAAGAATGCCCAATCAAGCAAGTAGAACAAGATGTGGCTAACACCTTTTAACAAATCATGTACAAGGAAATTATCCAATGTTTTATCAGATAATAATAATGCCAATACATTTCGTGTTTTGTTTCTCAACTTGCAAAACTTAATCAGTAATCAATAAAGTGGAGAGTTTGTGGAAGAGGGAGGAAAATCAAATTTAGAAGGATAAACTGTTGAGGAGAGAAACGTAAGTTTAGGAAAAACTGAAGCGTGTCACCTTTGCAGTTAAACATGTTTACTTAGAAAAACAAAATGGAATCTCGAAGAGTGAGTCTCCGAAGTAATATATTTGTTTCAATTTCCTGTCCTATTGATTTCTTCGTCCAAGTAACGAGAGACTAGACCAGTTCCAGAGAAAGACCAATTTTCGATATTTATCGACCGAAATGTAAGAATGAAGGTTTCATTACCTGGTTTGACATTTGTGAACTTTACAAATCGTGTGTTCCTCGAGTGTAATCAGAACCCGAAAGTAGTTGATGGCAATAATGCAATGTATCGCTGTTAATTATGCCATGTAAAATATTTATTTTATTTCTAATTCAAAACATCATCAGATTGTTTCCAATAGTCCCTTCATTAGAAGGCTTCCTTCGAAATCATGCCAAGAAAAATATATAGTTT